TACAGAACCACACACGATAAAGAAAGGTGAAGAAAACATTAATGAGTAATAATATATCAATATGGTGATGCCTGGTCATTATAAAGTTTATATTAAGTCTTATTGGGGTTTATTTGGGTACTTTGTATCTGAATAAAATAAACGATAGTAAAGTGTAATGTAATAATATTGTAATATATTAATAATATATAACATTAACATTAATTACTATATATTTTAATATAGTGTGTAAAAATTATTAATTATGCCCAAGCTCAGTGGAATAATGTTAAAAATAAAGATTGAAATAATTGAAATTATACAATCATACTATTGTAGTGTTTATTGTTATTACAAAATTCTAAACTTGTGAATACTGTTTGAATGTTATGAAAATTAACAACATTAAGTAATTCATCAATTTGTTCTATAAAAAAGGTTGTAACAATCATTAATTTATTATCTGTACATATTTTGTGTATTTATGTAATGTAAGAATATATTATAAGCAGAACAATATTATTGTCATTGAATATTTATATTATAAATATGATCAACCCACACCCGAATGATAGATGGAAGTCACCACTTTTGTGTGGCATCAATGTACAATTCAAATTGTTGTAATATTGTGAAAATTCTTGGAGTGTGAAATATATGCTGTAAAAATTTACATTAGACCAATTTTAATTTAAAATGAAATAATTGTTAGTTAACAGTTTAATAATATGTCGTGTACCTACAAAGTGTGATACCTAATCGAATTTAAATAATGAAATTGAATCAGTTAATAAGTGAAAATTAAATAGTTTGTCAAATGTAAAATAATTTACATAATATAATATTGTATAGATGTAATGTGTACAAATTATGAGCTCTAAGCCGGGGTTTTGGTGTTCATGAGTACATTTCATATAATTCAATGACTTTAATAACTTACTGAAATGCCTGGGCGTATGGATTGTTATCCCGAAACAGTTGGTCTAGGTCTGCAAGCACTTGCTCCAATAAACGGCCTGGATTCTGTTGCAAGCGAGCCCGGTTTGCTTGCTCAGAACTCACGAAATACAATTCACAGTATCTCGGTGGCCTGTCTACATTTGGGGCGACTTCATTGTTAGTCCTGTGATACACTTGTCCTTGAGCATAGAATACCCTCGGCCCACGACCTGGCAAACGCCTGGGGTTAAAGTCACTGGAGAACGCAGCGAATGCCAAACTGTTGTTGTACCTTCGAATCTCAGCTCTAAAGCTCCTGGCTTCCCTTGAATCTGAAGTCAACAAATTCATTAGTAACACAGGTGCGGGTTGCAACACCCGCTCTCCTGTTACGGTCACGAGACCGCTATTACAACATGTATAGAAACCACCCTGTCTGGTACTTTCGATGGCGAAGTGACGGGCACCACAATCTCTACAGACTGCATTCAACGGCCCAGTGTAATGCCTTTCAGGGAGCGGATGTTGGACGCCAGCCGGACGATCTATCATTGGTGCACGCCCTCTAGGCTGTTCGACCGGAACACCCAGGGGAATTGGTTCGAACTGCAATTGAAATTACAAAATTGTAACAAACATAGATATAGGTAATATGAAGAAATATTCACTGACCTCTTCATCGACGCCTTGGAGTAAAATGTCGATTTCAAGTTGCATCCCGTCATTGTTGTCCACCATCTCTTCTCGGCCTGGTACTACCTCGTCGTCGTCCATTAGGACTTCGTCCATCCGAACTTCAATAAATTCTACGTTGTCGTCGTTCATCAGGAATTGGTCCACCTGGACAACTTCCTCGTCGATATCTTCCATCTGTACCTCTACGAACTCCACCTCGACGATTTCTGCGCCACCGTTTGCATCGGCATTGTCAATTTCTGCGTGAACTGGTACCTGTTGCGCTCCGACCACCTATACAATCGTTTTAATTAGTTTAATGTGCAAGTATAAAATGAACTAATAAGGAGCACAGTCAAGTGTTGAATAGGGTCAATATATTAGTGTTGTGTCTATATTTTTTCTATATATTTCCACTGAAAAATGTTGTTATAGTTTTATATAGGTTTTATTAAGTATTCGCCTGGTAATAATAATATACACTTTATACAGTTTGTAGTTAATGTATCATCAACGTTATAAATTAATTTATAAACTTTTCAAATGAATAGTCATCCAGTGGTTTTAAGATAAGTGACTTGTGGTATTAACATTAATCTATTTGAAAGTTACACCATTCATTTTTATGTGGGCTAAACACAAATTTCCAATAAGATAAGACTGTAGGAAGTATATTGTACTCTATTGAATGTATTTCAAGGTGAACGGCCACCTAGATCCCCGGTTGACTAGATCCTCAAGATCTAAATGACACGAACGGGATCTAGTTAACAGGGGATCTAAATAACCACGAGGAACTAGTTGACCATAGTCCATAGGAGACCTAGTTGTCTCGGAATCTAAATTACCAGATTAAATCATGAAAATTTCAAATATTTATAAAAATAAATAATAATTACAATTTATAGGGACTTGAAATTTGTAAGCTTTTTATAAGGATTAGCAACCATTGACCTTATACTCATTTATGCTCACTAAGCATTTATGGTAGGGTAGTCATACAGTCATACATAACACACACGTCACACACATAGGTAGGTCGACCTATATAATACTACCTACTAATATATATATATATTATATTTATATTAACGCATAAGTTATAAAAACTAATTTGCATGGGGCAACCTCATTTGACTACATTTGCCTTGGTAAAAAAGTATTTTATAAATAAAAAGATGAACTATAATGATAATAATATAATTAAGAATATTGTGGGGGGGAGAGTTCGCAGAGTAGTCAAGTGCCTACCATAGTAGTATAGTACCATACTACCATGACTATTGACTGGCATGACTCCCCGTGCACCCGCTTTATGGGGCTTATATTTATTACTTCATAAAGTTTATAATGTAAACTTTACACTCTATATAAGACTACATTATAGTATTATACTAATATACCTACTAAAGACACTGAATATTACGATCGCATTCAAAGGAATTCGCGCTTCCAATAACATCGTTCAATTTTCAAGAACTTAAGCTAAACGGATGCGATGGGTGCGTATAGTAAGTTACTTTTTTGTCTGAGGTAACATATTTGAATTTCATTGATTTTTTTAGAGGAATATGAATGATTTTATTCTTCAAGTTAGGTTATTTATTCTTAAATATAGGGAATTTAAATATTTTTTATTATTAAGTTTTTATCATTTTTTCTTTAGCAATTTAGTCAATACCTATCATATTACATATATTATGATAATATTCATTTAATAATGTCGATTTATTACTAAACTATTGTCTATATCGAGTATTTAAAATTGAAGAGTAATTGCAATGTGCTATGTCAAAATTTAAAATTAATTAGTAAATACTACTAAATAATAACCGTTTTATCATGAAAACTAAAATAGTGTCTTTTCAACTTTTATTTATTAAATTTTGTGTTTAAATGTTCCTGTAAATTAGCTTACTTGAAATAAACAATTTGAACATTATAAAAACAATACAACTACCTTATTAAAAAATGTATTGTTAACATTTTAAAATTATTAAAGAATAAAAAATGTTATTTATTTCAAAAACGAAGAAAGGAACTAATTTCTTTCTTTAAGCCAGGAACAAGAAAGGATTTAGTTCCTTTTTAACAATATGAACACATTTGGATGTGAACTAGGTCCTTTTTGAAAGGAACTTCCCAAGCACTGATCGAGATTCACATGTGTCGCAACTTGCAAGTATATCTCTAACTGTGTCATTAAAATTAGAATTGATATTTAAATGTTAAAAAAGTATATATATTTAACTTTTATTCCAACTTATTAATTATTAACTAATATTATTTAATGGTATTAGTTATCATAGTTATTAGGTACTGACACAGAACAAGTATACATTTTATATTTTTCATAGGAGTCATAAGAAAGACAAATATGTTACATTTATTTTAAGTTTGATGTCCAGCTAATCAAGAGATTTATTTTCCATAACTTGTAATTTTGAATACAATTCAATACACATTTTTGCAATAAAAGGACCTTGTTCCTTTTGGCAAAATAAGATTGGTGATATTATTATGAAATGTATCACAAAATAAGATTGGTGATATTATTATAAAATAAGATTGGTGATATTATTATAACATGTATCACAAAATAAGATGCCAAAGGTGGGCATGTTAATGAAAATAATTAACTGTGGCAAGTTAAGTTAATCCAATTAAATTGCCTTCAGTTAAGTTAAAAGTTAACAAACAAAAAATGTTTAAATGGATAAGTTTAAAGTTAAGATAGAAAATAAAATTAACTTAACTCAGTTAAAAAAAACATTTTTTTGTGCATTTTGTTATACAAACATTTACCAAAGACGTTTAACACTGTGTAAAAAACTAGTTAATGCCCACCTTTGCAAGATGCGATTGTATTTCTGATATTGCCCAACCTCGATGGTAACTAATTAAATGGTTCACTAAATATGTAATGGGCCAATCATGAGTCTTTAGAAGAAGAATTAAATAACCTCTGTAAGGAACCTGAGGTAAATGTGTTTTATACTTTTATACTATTTAATTTATATTTATATTTTGAGCTATAAAGATTTTAGTGTATAAGACACACTACAGTTTTTAGTTTACATTTATTCATTATTTGGGATATTATTTAATAAGGTGTTAGTCTAAAACAATATTATACCCACATTATACATTACATTAAAATATTATATAAGCTTAGTTATAAAATTGTTGCAATAAAACCAATCTCAAAAATAAGCAAATAATACAAGTCCTGAACTTGGATCATTATGTACCTATGCATTTATCTGGCTACCCTAAAATAACACAAAACTTAATATTTTAATTTTTGATTTTCAGGATATGTAAATATAAAATAAATAACAATAAAATAATTTATTATATATTATTATTATATTTATGCAATTGTTTTCAATCATACTATATTACTATTATTGTATAGCTAAATAGCTTTCAACTTGTCCTCTGCACAGTGGACATCTGTAATAGGGTTGACGGCTATATGGAGCCATTGTAGAATAGCTTGTGAAGCAAGGCTCACATAGACCTTGATGCATACATGGTAAAACAATTACTGTTGGCGGCGAAAATATACATATGTAGCACTGGCTCTCAACTATTGGGGTGACTAAAAGATTAAAAGATTATAATTATCAATCAATAGTTAAGATTAATTTAAATTATAAATAATTACTAGTCAGATCTTCACCATGGATCCAATTTGTATGTGGTCTAATAGCCTGTGACCTAGCCATCACATTTTCCTCATCGTTTGAATCAGAGTTTTCTAAAACTAAAACAACGAAAACTATTATTACTTTAATTATTACACACGTTTATTAAAATGTGAACAACAAATATGGCATTTGCGCTGAATTATAGATTAGGGGAACTAATTTTTATTTATTTAGTTTTCAATCAAAAGTTATTATAGCTTAATATCTGCAGTTACATTACAAAATATAGTTAGATATAATAAAATATATGAATTATGATTATAATTATCAATTAATAGCTGAAATTAGTTTAAATTATTAATAATTACTATTAAAGTCTTCGTTTTCAATTTGGTTAGCCCGTGGTATAACAGCTATAACATTTTCATCATTATCATCGGAATCAGATGATACATCAAAAACTAAAACAAGAAAATTTATTTTTATTATTATTTTTTCAATCACACACATTTAAAATTATTAATTTCTTACGATTTGCAGGAACAGGTTGTCGTATCCGCGCAGGCAATAATCTTGCAAGAATTTCTTCCCGTGATGGATGAGGCGGTAACTCAAACAAAATTGGAGATGGAGGACGTGGTACATTAATCGCAGGTTCTATATGAAGTGGTTGAGGTTGTGGGTCATTCACTGGTTGAATTTGAAGTGGTTGAGGTCGTAAGACACCAAAATTTGCTGTTGCATGTCGTGAACAGACAAGAAACTCCAATATAGAATACCGCCCTTCATTTAGCAGTCTCATTGCCAAATCTAGACGCCTTTGGTTGTCTATCCATACCTGCCGTTGCGGCTCTCTTATTTGTTCACCATCAGTTACCGCAGTATAGTCTATTAGTATACCTCTTGAGTATGTAATTAGTCCTTCTGTAAAATGATTTATAGATAATTATCAATTCAATTGAATATTTTATTTTATAATTCGACATGCTCCTTGTTTTAATTTATAGTGTATAGGTAATATACCTAACAAAAGATTGAATGTCCACATATTATGCTCATATTATACAAAACATAAAATTAGTGCAATTTTGGAATTTAATCCATTTAATTTGTAAATCACAAATTAGTGTAGCATATTATCGTATTATTGAAATATTTGCCACATCTAACACTAACAGTGACTTATCCTGCAAAAGTATCATATCCGACGAGAAAAATGCCTTTCTACTACCACTGACCTTACCCTTTTTTTTTCTTATATTATGTATAGGTACCTATGTAGTATTATAAATAATTAATTAAATTTAATGATAAATCATTATTATTACTCAGAAATATCCACGGTTCTGGGTGGTGTCTGTTTCCCATATGCAAAAGTAAGTGTTGATGACTGACTTCCAGTACATTATTGGTGCGCCAAACTGTTTCATTCACCGATAACATATCTGCATTAACTCCTATTATTCATACAAAATAATATAATATTTAGTTAGTGTTATTAAATATATAACTGTAGATTTTTTTATATGTACAGACTAAACATACCTTGTAGCCATGTCGACCGATAATAATCAAAAAGTTGATTAAATTGTCCTCCATTGTCGCCTAAACTTAACAGCTCATTTTCACGGTACATACGTTTAATGCTTTCAAAACCCTCCATGATTAAGTTTTGTGGCAGAAGAGGCAATGTCATCAACAAATGGACAATATCATACGCCGCTCTATTATCTGTGCATAATTCTGTCAATCCTATATTCATATTTAAACAATAAACATGGTGAGTGTTAATGATTGATCTCAAAATCTATATTAATTATTATAAGTCATTATATCAACCACACTCACTAATTTTTAATGTTTAATATAAGCAATACAAAAAACATAACTTTTAGTTGTAAAAGTGTGACATGTAAATTTAAAGAATAATTATAATAATAAGAAAAAAAATAAACTAATAAGATTGCGCTTATATATAAATTGTAGGGATATTAATTCCCAAGCCCCACAACTTTATAACATAACATAGGTATACATTTATAGTATTTTATACATTATGTTACAGCCAAAGACGTTTAAGTATGTTTTACTACCAAAAATCATTGATCAAGAGTCTTCTTAACATATTGTAGTTGTATGTAGTATTTTATATAAGTATATTTAGTATTGTTACAAATATCTTCTATCAATATATAATTATTTTTTTTTAAATTCATTTAATTGTAAACACCAAAAACACTGTTTTAAATTGATGTGGTTTTAACTTTTCAAAACAACATTATAATACCATCATTATAACTTCTGAGTACTCATCCGAATACTCAATACTCTGATACTTGAATACTCATCAGATAAATACAGTGAATATAATAGCTTACCAATATTTCCAACTTTTCTCCATACAGCTTGCGAAGAATGAAACCAACAACCTCGTATTACTGTGTTAGGAAATATTGATTTAATGGACGCTATTGCTGCCCTTTCAAAATCAATGATAATGGTTTGTGGTTTCCATTCCGGCACTAAAGTCAGGATTTTGTTGAACAGTGCTGAGTATGCACATTCTGTTTTCCTTGACATTAATGCAAACCCAATTGGAAACCCCTAAGATAAAAATATTTAATACATTTAAATAATTTAGCTATTTTCTTATTGAATAGGTCCCTAGTACCTGTATATTTGCAAACTAAACTTACAGTGTTAAATGTTATGCCCATTATTACATACAACTGTTGGCACTCATTTCCAAATGATGGTGCACTTGCAAATGTGCCATCAAACAAAAATGTCGTACCCGTTCTAAGTATGCTGCAATTTTATTATATTATTAGTATTATTGTTTATTTAAAATTAACAATATTTTGTATTTACTTTATGACTTCAGGTAAAATAAATAGTAAAATAACTCCTTCCTGTGGCGTGTTACCGATAAGGCCATTATACAAAGTTGCATTATCAAGTTTAGTCAAGTGTGTATAATCTCCACTGAGTTGACCATGGAACTCAGTCATCGACCTAGGACTTACTGGCTGGGTCTGACGTCTATGCCTCCGCATCGTCCTTCGATGTGACACAAATGCACCAACGTGAACATTTATAAATTCTGCTGAAGTGCATGTCTATAATACCATTAAAAAAATATTTATTAATTATAAAGATATTTAATTACACTCATTTTCAAATTAAATTAGAAAATTAGTCGTCTTAACTTTTTGGTTCTTCTCAACCTGTTGTTACCTGTATTTTTAATTAATAATAAATCATTTCTTTTGACAAAATGATCCCGGGCAAAGCATATAATTAATAATAGTATAAATGTATAATGTAAATTAAAAATGATTTTACGTGAATGCGTTTTCTTTATGTCGCATGTGGGCCAGAGATAGAAAAAAAACAGTGAGCTTACATCATCTTAAATTAAAAAGAGTGCTTCATCATAATATTATCAACATTTCATACCTACCTATACATTTAAGGGAGACCAAAAACTTGTATATGAAAATAGAGAACCTTTAAAAATATATCTTAATTCTTAATACTTTCCAATGAAGCTCCTTGCTGTTTAATATTGGTATGCTAATGTAACACTTACTTCATTGTAAATGACCCGAAGAGGTATATTTTCAGTCTGTGCCCGTTGGTTACAGATATTTTTGAAATTATGCAGTGCCAATTGATCTTCAGGATGTGTCTCATGGCATATAATAAGAATAACCTTAGTTTTGTCATTGTTTAACACTCTGCCTTTTGCACGACAACTAAAAAAAAAATAATATTTAAAATATTAACATACAGGTACTAATAATGACTATTACCTACTTAATAGCACGGTGCCACGGCCATTTAGAATATATTTTTAAAAGGTTGGTAAGTGGGTGTTGCTCTGCTATACAGTAGGTTACAAGTGAGTCACTAATGGATTGTATTAAATTTGAATTCAATGATATTATATCATTCTATAAGAAAAACGACTTTGAGCGATGACGGTCAGTCGGCCTATGTTATTATATAGGTACTTTAGTATATTTAATGATATTATTGTTAAATAACAAAGTAGTTGATAAATTATAAACTATTTACTTGGTTCCTAGTTTTAAAAATTCAATCCCTAGCTATGAAAGTTGAACATTTTATAATTTTTAAATTTGATTAATGTTGTCAAAATTTGAACTTAAATGCTTATGAAAAAAAATTGTGCCTACGTAATTTTTAATATTTTTTAACTGCTATTGTAATAATATATTATCAGGAGCCTTAAATTATTTTCATGCTTTTTGGCCCAACAAATGAAATTGTATTGATATTTGTAGAAAAAAAAACTAAACAAATTTAAATTTTAAACTGTCTGTAAACAGCTCAAAACAAGTCGAAATATTTTGAAAAATGTATGATCTATAGAAAATGCTAATATAAACAATCAATAAAAACTGAATGTATCTACGATAATTTGTTTTAGATTTACACCAAAAACCAACATTTTGTCGAGAACCGATTTTGCGTAAAAATTCCCGTTTTTTCTTAATTTTTTGTTTGTTTTTCTCGTTGATTTTTAAAACGGTTGGGAATCTTAAATGTTGACCTACTCAAAGCCCCAACTAGATTCACATTCCCATCGAACAAGATACTGTGGTTGAAAATCGTAGCATTATTTTGACTACTTATAAATTGTGTACACAGACACAAATAATACAAAAAAATAAAAACCTGCACATCATTATGTAAAATCAATATATTCATCGCTTCACTCAGAATCTAAAATAGGTACAGCAAGATCAATGGTCAGCATAACATATTTATTTTAAATTTAAATTACCCACCAGGATGACAATGAGTTTTAAAATCGAATTTATGACTTCTAAATATTGAAATATTTAAATATAAATGACAACTGAATGCTGGTACCTATTTGTATAGTAAAACATAAAGTTAATTGTAATTAAATTTACCCAGCTCTCCAGGATGCACAACGAACTGTAAAGTGCAATCGACATTGGCGATTTTTCCAGTAAGTGTATCCATCTTCGTCTTTAAACTTAAGGCCTACGCCTCTAGAACCTCCAATCTCTCTAATAACTTTTTCCATTGTAAAATTATAGTGGAAAAATTATGATTTACTATTTACTTTGAAAGCACTAAAGTCATACAACATGCGTTCTACGCCTTCTACACTAGACTAAAATACAACGATTACGATGGTTGACGAACGATCGACTGATGAGGGCTATTAAGATTTAACGTTATTTAATAATATTATTAATCTGGAAAAATGTGTGCGTATCTTGAATACTGCAGTATACTACGAATATTTATTGAACGAATTAAGATACCTATAAACCTATTAGGTACCTTATATCTTCATAAGTACTTAATTTATGGTTTCTGATTTACTGATTTCTGGGGAACAGAAAAGTTATTTTCTCAGTTTGACATTATTTTAGATTTTACAATGATGCGTTTTTTTATTTTCTGTATGTGTAGTTGAAATAATGCTTTGATTTTCAACTTCAGCAGAGGCGTGCTCAGTAATTTTGGATGGGAGGGGTTGGTTTGAACATTTTTTTTCGAACAGAATTTTTTGTTAGTTTATCGTTATAAATCTAGATCAGAACCCATGAGAATTTTTAATTTTTTTTGTCAGACACTTCACACCTACCTATGTATTATAAACAGTTAAGAACGATGGTGCAAAAATGAATTGCCACAAATCATAGTTTTTATGGTATAGCCTTACGAAGTTCACGATTTTCGGTGTTTTGCGCATACGTACAACGCTTATTGTTTACAGCACTTAGGTATAACAAATTTGAATTTTTTTTTTTTTAAAACCCAGGTAAATAAACGTTTTGAAAAGGTGGTCAAGTGGATGTCGCTCTACTGTACAGCAGTAGGTTACAAGTGATTCACTGTAATGGATTGTGTTAAATTTGAATCCAATAATGATATAGGTACCTAAAATCATTGCATAAGAAAAACGATTCTGCGAGCGGAGACGGTGAGTCAGCCCATGCCCCATAGGCCATAATACCATACTAAGTGTATTTTTGGTGGTATTATATTGTGAATAAAGTAATTAATTTTAGTATTAGGAATAAATTAATATTTACTATAGTTGGTTAAATTCATTTTTCCCAAAAAAAATAAATTTTAAAATGCCATTGCGTGTGTATAAAATATAACAATATAGGTAGGTACTCTAAAAGCTTGATATACCAACAAATAATATTTTTAAATTATAACAAAAAAATAAAATCGTTATTCTTAGTTTTAATATGTAATTTCGTCCAAATTTGAATTTAAAATTTCTGTAAAATGTGTTTATATACTTTTTAGATTTTTCGGTTACTCTCTTATCTACTGTTATTTATTTTATAGTTAGGTACACCAAAAATCAAAATCTGTTTTTTTCTTTAATTTTTCATTTGTTTTTCACGGCCCTTTCGAAAACTAATTGTAAATTTTACATTTTGAGTTTTGACCTCCCAAAAGTACCAACTAGATTCACTTTCCAATCGAACAAGATACTTAAATTGAAAATCAAAGCAATATTTTGACTACTAATCGTGTTCACAGACACAAAAAAAATATAAAAAAAACAAACATTGTAAAACCAATACATTCATCGCTCCGCTAGAAATCTAAAATTATTTAACAAAAATAATTCTGACACTCGCCAGTCGCCCTTAGTGGTTTTATATG